TAAACCGATATATATTTTCGTCCGATTTTAGCCCAAAGCCCCTATATTTCTTTCGATTTCCACGAAATTTTGCATAGCGTGCTGACTTGAGTTTAGAATGATGTGTGTAAGTTTCGTAAAATCAGTTCTGATGTGGATATAGCTTCCATATATATTTCGTTAGATTTTAACTAAATGACGCATCAAATCCCATATAGTTTTTTCGATTTGCACGAAATTCGGCATAGCGTACTGAATTGAGTCTAGAATGATGTATGCTAAGTTTCGTAAAAATCTGTAAAGATTCTATCTATATCCTTATACGAGTATGGTGATTAGCATCCCAAATACAAATTTTCTGTCAGGATGTTTTTTATCCATTGACCTAAATATCACGATGCACAGATTTATATATCATGCTAGGACCTTTAACATTCAGAAAGTAGCCCAGGACATTGTATGAAAAATTACTAATTACAGCCAAATTGGTTGGAAAATTTGATGAGGACCCTCAAAATACTATAAAAAGGACAGTACCTATGTGTGGAAGAAGGTATTATGTTCAATACTATTTTATACTACTGATCATTTTTTTCGGGAAAACTTTAAGCCTCCAAGAATCCGACATAAAAACCACAGTCATTTTCGATCGAAAATTCGATTAAAACTTTCAAAATACTGCAAAATGGTACGTAAACTGGGATATTCCGTTTTCATCTGAAAGCCCGAATCACTAATTATAACCACATGCGTTGAAAAATGTTGTTAGAACTTTAAAAAAAAGAAAATGGTAATGTATCAAAACGTAGATCACTATTGAATGTTTTTGCGAGGACATATTTTAACCTTAAAAAACCCTGAATGCCAATTTATGTTACTTCGGATCAAAAAAGCAACTGAAACCTTTAAAAAAGTATAACATGGAACAGCACCGGATACTATACTAAAATGTTAAAAATACGGTAATCTCCTCCTAAATATCGAAAATAGAAGGTACCTTTACATGGGGGCATATTTCAAAACATGGACCTCTATTAAAATTTTTCTGAGAGTAAATCTCTTAGCCTCAAAAAAAAATCGAAATGCTTAAAATTTTTCAAAATACTACAAAATTGATCAGTGCCGTTATGGGGAGTCCAAACCATAAACCCCTTTCTCCTCTGAAAGTCCAAAATCATATTGATAATGTTTGCAAAATGCGGCCAGGAATGCGGTCAAAATACCGTAAATAGGTCGGAACCTTTATATGGAGGATGTGCCATAACATAGACCTCTGTTAAAAATGTTCTGCAATGAAGAGATTTCATTCAGCAACCAAGAATGCAGAATACCAAAACATGACATCAATTTTAAACGACACATCCATCCGATTTTAACGACGTTATCCGGAAGTTCCGAAAAAGTTTTTACTTTTTTCACTTATAACGACTATTGCATATAGCGACTAATTTCGCTGTTCCTTTGACTGTCATTATATATGATTTCGATTGTATACATTCTTAATGAGAGTATAGATATGTGTTGTACACAGAAAAATAAAATTAGTGGATATGTAACCTGTTTTAAATCTGTAGGTCGTATTCATTCTTATCCCAATTTTGTTATTCTACTTGTTAAAATTGACTAAGGGTGTATTGACCTAACTTGGTGTCCAGCGTGTTCTTTAATTGTCATGACCCAATAAAAAGTCAATATAATTTAAATTTCGAAAAATTCAATTTATTATGTTTGTTTTTTATTTTTAATCCACGAGAATATTTTTTGAAACTCATATATAATCCAAAAACACATTTGTTTTTTTCTATTTTCAGAAAATTTTCGCAAACTCTTACAAGAATCGAAAACCGAATTCAATAATATGTTTACACGAACCTACGGTGTAATATATCAAAAGAATGCCTATGTCTTTTCGGATTTGTTCAGTGAATTGGAAAACTATTATAATCGTGGGCGAAGCGATCTCATAAATGTAATGGATACCTTTTTCAGTACCCTGTATCAGAAAATGTTTCAAGTTCTCAATGTCCAGTATACGTTTGATGAACAGTAAGTATAAAATAAAAAAATAATTTATGATATTATACTATATAGAGATATGTGAAACATTTAAGCCACCCAACGCTTGCTTTGACAATACGCCTTCAGTGAAATTTAAAACTCCCATGTATAAATTTCCACTTTAGCGTCTTTTCAAAAAACTGTGTCCATACAACGGTAATTTGAGCTTTACAACATAAACGCACTTCTGCTGTCCGAACACACAAATACACATTTGATGGTTTTCGTTGTTGTTGTTTTGGTTGCAGTTGTCTCCTTTTTGGACATTTGTTTTCCTTTTACTGTCATACGTACTTTGTGTGTCGGGCTACTTTTTAAAGTCATTCATAAAATCTGAACTGTTAACCGGTACTTTTGTGGTCAAATCATTTACAATGTTTGCTAAAATCATCGGATCGTGGACACCAACGACAACAACAACGAACTTGATGACTGACAGTCATGCAACCACACACATCAAGTCAACAACTTATACATACAAATATTGTATTATTCATACGACCATATATATTTTGATGGTCAAGTCCATGGCTATGAACTTAACCAACAAAAGGGCTCTGATTTTGTCACACAACAGCACAAGCCATGGCAGAACTTTAGAAGGAAACAGAGAATTGTTTTTTTAACCATTTTTGTTGTTAAACCCCGCTCTGTCATCAAAGAAATTAAATAGAAACGGCTCGTGTTACTTGCACTTAACGAACTTTTTTGTTTGTCAATTCTTCTTCCCAATTGCTGTAAAATGAAACGCAAATGAAGAAAAGAACTGACAAACGTTTCAAATTAAACTGTGAACTTTGGCAACCTTTATTTTTGCTTAGGTTTCTTTAACGCTTTTTTTAATAATCCTTTTTAGGTAAAAAATAAACGTTTTATTCCAAATTATTTTCTTTTAATGTGAAAAAAAAAATAAATAGGTTTGACTATTTGGTGGCATTAAGTGTCGTTGGTGACATTTCCTATGAATATAAAGGGATTACTTCCTTGGGATGACACATTTTACAATACCTTTAATGTATTTATAATACAACTTTTTAATGGGAATATCATGGGCCAAGCTTTTGAACGGAGTTGCAGACCAGAACGGCCAGAAGGGCTACAATATCTATGAAATAAAATGGGATCCAATTCTGGACTGTATAGAGGATATTTCATCATTTACATATTTTGGCCGGCCAAAAAGGCACTGGTTTTGGCCGATGTGTAAGAGCTGGCATTGTCACAATGGGGCACAATGGTTCAACTTCTGTCGTTCATTTTTCGCATTTTTTCTCGGAAGACTCAAGAAAAAAATGGCGCCCAATGTTGCTCAAACGGATTAGTAGTCACATGACCTATGAAATAAAATGCGAATATTTATCTTCTAAATCATTTACCACACACTTTATTCTCTATATGCGATTATAAGAAGTAGTCACGGGGGTCCAAGTCTGGGTTGCACACCGGTTTATCCATCATTTACACATTTTGGCCGGCCAAAAAGACGATGGTTTTAGCCGATATATAAGAGCGCACTTTATTCTTTATATGCAATTATAAGAAGTAGTCATGGGGGTCAAGGGCTGTACAGCGGATTTTCCATCATTTACACATTTTGATCGACCAAAACCGTGCTGGTTTAAGCCGATGTGTAAGAGCTCGCATTGTCATGGTGCACAATGGTTCAACTTCTGTCGTTAATTTTTCGCTTTTTGCCTCTGAAGACTCAAGAAAAAAAATGGCGCTCAATATTGCTCAAACGGATTGATCAGACCTATGAAATAAAATGCGAATATTTATCATAAAAATCGAAATACCACGCACTTTATTCTTTATATGCGATTAAAATAAGAAGTCATGGAGTCCAAGGCTAGGCTGTACAGCGGATACTCCATCATTTATACATTTTGGCCGACCAAAGAGGTGCTGGTTTGAGTCGATGTGTAAGAGCTCGCATTGTCATGGTGCACAAGGGTTCAAATTCTATTGTTCATTTTTCGTATTTATCGGAAGACTTCAGGAAAAAGTTTGGCGCCCAACGTTGCTCACATTAAATAAAATGCGAATATTTATCATCAATATTCTTCATATGACATTATAATTAGAAGTCATGGGGCCCAAGTCTGGGCTATCCAGCGGATACTCTATCATTTACACATTTTGGCTGGCCAAAAAGACGCTGGTTTGAGCCGATATGTTAAAGCTCGCATTGTCATGGTACAAAATGGTTAGACTTCTCTGAAAACTCCAGGAAAAAATTGTGGGGCCCAACGTCCCTATCAGTTTAGCCGAAGGCCCATGCTACCATTCACTTCAAAGTGCGTTTTTTCACAAAGAACTTTCGCTGGATTGATCTTTGAATATCTCCACGTTATCCAAATTTCTTCGACAGGAACATTTTTTAGACGATTGTCAAATTATACAGAATCCAACGAGTAGAAACTTATTTTATTTAAGTTCAGGGGTTCATTAAACATCGAAAGTACAATTGGCCAAAAATATGTTTAATATAATAATAATAATCGGGTTCTAAAATTTTATTTACTTACAGAAACTGCTCAGGTTCCCTTTGACAAAATCGTGTTTCTGTTGCATTAACTTTTATATACCTATAGTATGTACTCAGTTCCTGTTTAGCTATTAACCATTAATCTCCTATGAATGTTAGCGCTCTATTTGTCTCTATTTTGTTAAACAAACTTTTCTACTACAGATTTTATTTTGATTACAGTGACTTTCTCATATTTAAATGCAGTTGTCCCCTTTTTGTCTGCTTTTACACCTCTGGGGAGCATAGGGATCCAAGTCATGTAGGTTATTTTCATTAATCATTGTTTTTATTTCCGCTGAGTGGATGATTGGTGTGATGCAGCATGTCCTAAATAATGGGGCTACCAAATATCGTTATCTAGAAACAATGTCTCCTTGCGTTGCGTCCAGTGGTTTGGGTCCTTGCTGATGCGCAACATCCTCCAAAGGTGGCGATAACTCCGTACATTACTATTTTGTAATATCCCCATTTGTTGGTGTTGATTACAAAGTTGGTTATTAAAATGTAGGGGAACTTCGGAAGCATTTTATCCACAAAGCATCAATATGTCCTTGTGTTAGTTTCATTAATCATTGTTTTTTAATCCAGCTTTGTGAATGATTGGTCTAAAGTAGCCTGTCCTAGATAATGGGCTGCCATCTATCGTTGCCTTGTGTTTTATGCAGTGGTTTCGACCCCTTGCTTATTTAGTGCTTTCCGTCCTCCTATAAGGGCGCAATCCTCTGCCATTCTCATTTAGTGGTACCCTCATTTGTTGACGTTGATTCCGAAGTTAATTATTAAAATGTCAGGGGGCTTCAAATGCAATTTATCCACAAAGCATTAATATGTCCTTGTGTTAGTTTCATCAATCATCGTTTTTTAATCCAGCAAAGTGGATGATTGGTATAATGCAGCCTATCCTAGATGATGGGCTGCCATCTATCGTTGCCTAGACACAATGTCTCATTGGGTTTTGTGCAGTGGTTTCGGTCCTTGCTTATTTTGTGGTACCCTCATTTATTGATTTGATTCCGAAATGGGTTATTAACATGTCAGGGAGCTTCGGAAGCATTTTATCCACAAAGCATCAATATGTATAAAAGTGTCATCTGGCTTCGGTAGCATTTCATCTGGAGGGGATATAAGGCACTTTTTACAAATATTTGAAAACCAGTTTAAAAGAATTTTCCCAACGCTGCGATTCGAGCCAGGAACCCATCGGTTAATAGTCTAGCACACTATCAACAGAACTACGCAACCTATTGTCCTCAAGAATCTATCCTAAAAGTTTATGCACTTCAGTTATGACTGTGTATGATCTATAGCTTTTTCCCTATACATCCCCCCAAAATACATTCCACAGTTATTTTATTCACTTCAAATATTGCAAAGGTATTTCCCCTTTTCTCCATACTTCCGTCAAAAATGTACTTTACTGCCATCTATCGTTGCCTAGGAACATAGTCACCTTGAGTTTTGTGTAATGATTGGCGTCCTTGCTTATACAGTCAGGAGGCTTCGGATGTATTTCAACTAGAAGGGCATGTAAGCTTCTCTTTTTAAATATTCGAAAACTTTTTTGAAAGAAGGGTTTTCCCTGAACTGGGATTCAAACGCGGGAACAGCGCCACCTAACTGTTGGCCCCAAGAATCTAACTGTATGACCTATAAATAATTCCCTATACAATCTCCAAAATAGATTTCGCATTTATTTCATTCACTCCAAATCGTGCGAAGTTTTTCCCTTTTTTCCCATTTAGAATCCACTACTTCCGTCAAAAATTTCCTTTGCATTTTCTCTGAAACATTAAACCCCTTTTTTTGAGAATAACAATTTGTGTTGTTGTTATTGTTATTGTACTTTGTTTTAATTGTCAACCTTATTTTTTCCGCTCTGTATTTTTTGCAAAGAGGTTTAGAGTAGATTTCAGACGAATCGAATCGCCGCTGCTTAGCTGGCTGGCTGACTGACTGACTGGTATATGTTTGTTTTAAGCCGTATTTAATGCAACGAGTTAATGTGGCAGACTTACAAGTGCTGGCTGACTGACTGACTAAACTGATTGTTTGGTTAACGGGAGAGGGTGGTGGTGTGAGTTGGTGGTTCTTAGCCGGGCTGATACGTTTTTATTCGCAAACAGAAATTTATCACTTGGCCATTCATTCATTCCTTTGCTCATTCATTCACTTAAGTTTTGAGTTGTAGGAAATAAATAGAAGAAAGAACAAATGGAAAAAGTGTCACACACAAACAAAGCAGAATATCCCTTGTTGTAGCTCGTGTTTTTTTCAGGGTTCTGCTTCACAGAATTTTAGTTTCGACTTGTTTTTAACACATTTATGCCCTACAATAATATCCATCTATACATGGATGTTGTTGTTGTTTCTGTTTTGTGTCATAAGAAAGTCGAAACAAAATGGCAAAAATAAAACACAACTAATGTCGTATTCGCTGATGTGTGTTTTGGCATTAAGTTTCATTAAACTTAATATGAGTTCGTTCGTTTTGTTGTTGTTGCTATTCTGTTTTTATTTTATTTTTATTATTATTTGAAATGCAAATTTTCCATTTGTTTTAACAAAGCTCTAATACTTCCATAGAGAGATTAATTTTCACATACATATTCGTACGTTCGTATAAACATATATATTGTTGGTTGTCATTATACAAAAGAAAATTGGAACTAATTTTCTCAAAAGATGTCTGTCCTCTTTACTGACTATATTGCTTATATTATGGATATCAACGACAGTGTCCTATATCTAAAGGTTGTCGTTGAACACTTTAAAATTGGCAACTAAGAAAAATGATTCTGAAAATTTCGCGATTTTCCAATTGATCCTGCTTATATTATGACATGACATCTATTAGTCGTTAAATTGGTTTTAATTCCAGCTCGGTAGATGTTTGGTCTGATGTAGTCTGTTCTAGGTGATGGGACTGCCATCTACCGTTGCCTAGAAACAACGCCTCCTTCAATGTTCCGTGGTAGTTGGGGTCCATAACACTTTAAAATTCTTTCAGACTTCGGTTAGACATGTCTGAACTCTATCCCAAGTGTTTAACATAAATCATACATTGGCTACAATATACATGTGTGGTTGAGGCAATACAAATCATCTGAATATTTCGTATAGGACTATCAAAGTATCTAAAATACCCAGTACCTAATAACATATAGAGTTTAGTTTCGGTTTTCCAATGTATCCTGGTGGTATTATGGTATATGTTGTCCGTAATAAAAGCAACATCTAACTCGATTAGGCGATGTAATAGTTTCGCTATAATGGTTTTTATTCCCGCTCTCTAGATGATTGGTCTGTTGTAGACTGTTCTATATAATGGGACTGTCATCTACCTTTGCCTAGAAACAACGCCTCCTTGATTTGTGCATGGTGTTGCCATAAACACTTTAAAGTTCTTTCAGACTTCGGTTATACCATAGACAGACGACAGCCTTAATTTGCATTAACAAGTTCTTAATTTGAATTAAAATTTACCCTTGACAGACGAGAGTTTCTGCATTTATGAACCAGTTTTTTGTTTCAAAACTATTGTTTGTCTGTGTGTAGGAAGAAAATATTGACATTTATTTACAATATTTTTTAGGATTACATCTTTTTGAAATTGATACATGACAGGAAGGAAAACTAACAGCTATAATGAAGATAAAACAGCTCCAAATTTGAAGAAATGTTGAATTTTGCCTTTATTTCTAATTTTTATTTTCGAAATGTAAACAAATTTGACAACAATCAATTTATTTTCTACAGCATTGCCATATTGAAATTGCTTAATTCAGTATAAATTCAGTTTGATTTTGTGCATTAACAACACATAAAAATGAGGATAATGTACAAGTTAATTTGAATTAAGGCTGTTAATGCAAATTAAGGCTGTCGTCTGTCTAGGCTATTAGACATGTCTGAACTCCATCCCAAGTGTTCAACATGAATTATATGAGATCTACTATTAATATTTCTGGCCGAGGCAGCACTTAGTGTTGCCTAGCGGCTTTTGATATTTCCATTGGAATTTTTGAAAATCGAAGTCTTCAAAAGCCACAAATGGGGAATTAAATATATATGCATATGAGACCGAAACCAAAACAGCTATCGGTTGTATGGGTCTTCGAAGACGAGGCAAATTCAACGAATGTTATAGAACATTGAAGACAATGGTCTACTGTTTCTTTGGCAAAACATGGACATGATTCTTCTGAGTGTTACAGCACATTTTGTAATACCTAAACATCGGTCAGGACCCTTATATGTTGTCTACATTAAAATGTGTATTTAAATTGAATATTCAGAGAGAATTAAAAAAAATTGCAGCGTGTGGTAGTGGTAGTGGCGGGGTTTATTTTTTTTTTTTTTTTTTTTTGTTTTAAGTTTTCTATTTTTTTATACCATTCACCACACTGTGGTACAGGGTATTATGTCTTTGTGCATATGTTTGTAACAGGCAAAAGGAAACGAGATAGACACATGGTTCCTTTTGAGAATATGCATAGAATCACTTTCTAAGTCGATTTATGCATGTCCGTCCGTCCGTCTGTCCATGTATTTTTGTGAGCAAAGTACAGGTCGCATTTATGATCCGAATTGGATGAAATTTGGCACAGCTCATTTGTTTGGCCCAAGGACGAACCCTATTGAAATTGGGAATATATATATTTAACCGTAACCCATATATATATTTAACCGATTTAATGTAAACGGTCCCTATATATCTTTCGATTTGCACGAAATTTGGTACAGCCTAATCATTTAGGTCTAGAATGATGTCTGCCAAGTTTCGTGAAAATCGGTCAAGATTTAGATATAGCTCCCATATATAGTTTCGTCCGATTTCATGTAAATGGTGCCCCAAAGTCCCTATATACCTTTCGATTTGCACGAAATTTGGCATAACGTATTGAATTAAGCCTAGAGTGATGTCTGCCAAGTTTCGAGAATATCGGTCCAGATTTAGATATAGCTCCCATATATAGTTTCGCCCGATTTCATTTAAATGGTGCACCAAAGTCCCTATATATCCTTCGATTTGCACGAAATTTGGCATAACGTACTGAATTGAGCCTAGAGTGATGTCTGCCAAGTTTCGAGAAAATCGGTCCACATTTAGATATAGCTCCCATATATAGTTTCGTCCGATTTCATGTAAATGGTGCCCCAAAGTCCCTATATATCTTTCGATTTGCACGAAATTTGGCATAACGTATTGAATTAAGCCTAGAGCGATGTCTGCCAAGTTTCGAGAATATCGGTCCAGATTTAGATATAGCTCCCATATATAGTTTCGCCCGATTTCATGTAAATGGTGCACCAAAGTCCCTATATATCCTTCGATTTGCACGAAATTTGGCATAACTTACTGAATTGAGCCTAGAGTGATGTCTGCCAAGTTTCGAGAAAATCGGTCCTAAATTAGATATAGCTCCCATATATAGTTTCGTTCGATTTTATGTAAATGGTGCACCAAAATCCCTATATATCTTTCGATTTGCACGAAATTCGGCATAACGTACTGACTTGAGCCTAGAATGATGTCTGCCAAGTTTCAAGAAAATCGGTCCAGATTTAGATATAGCTCCCTAATATATAGTTTCGTCCGATTTTATGTAAATGGTGCACCAAAGTCCATATATATCCTTCGATTTGCACTAAATTTGGCACAACGTACTGAATTGAGCCTAGAGTGATGTCTGCCTTGTTTAGTGAAAATCGGCCTAGATTTAGATATAGCTCCTTTTTATTATAGATTGATTTTAAGTAATTGACGCACCAAGGAACCAATAGGAACAAAACGTTCTGGAATTAGTTTAACCTAACCTGTGACAAGTTTGTTTGAAATCGCTTAATATTTGGATAAAGCTTCCATATATATTTTCGCCCGATTTCAAGTAAATTGGGCATCAAACTGCTCATGTTAGTCAGATTGACATCAAATTTTGCACAACTTACAAAATTGAGCCTAGAATTGCGTAGTTGCGTTTTCTAGAAGTACAGATATAGCCCAACGGATGACCTATTTATATTTGTTTGAAGTCGATTTACATACTTTTGTCCCATTGTAACAAACGAATGACATGTTTATGGATAGATCTAGGTAGATTCACATTTAGATAAATATCACATATTTTATTTCATCCAATTTTATGTTAATAGTCCTGTTTAATATACCCATAGTGGTGAAGGGTATCATATAGTCGGCCCCGTCCGACTTTACTCCTTTCCTTACTGGTTTTTTTTTGGGTTTTCTTCTTATTTACTGAAATGTTCATGTTCTCACCATATACAATGTTGAACATTTGGTTGAGTTTGTTCTTCGTATCAACACTTGATTGATATATTATATTTAGCATTTATATCGAAATAATTTGGAAAATACATATGGGAATTTTGTAACACCATTTCGTTTGCAATAATGAAATAATGGAATGCAAAAATAGTCACAATAGAATGGGATTCCTCGGTGGTTGTTAGCAAGAGAAACAGTTGTCAATTAAAAACACAGTAGCAAAAATAACAAACACCATGCAATGGAATGCTTTTGTTTTTGTTAAAAATGAGAGAAAGATGGAAAACAAACGCAAAGATGTTGGAAACTATTTGTGATATTAATGAAATTTTTACATTTTTTTGGAAAAAAAAAATATTGTATTTTCCACGATTATAAGAATTTTCACTTGTATTGAAAGCGAGTTATATGTACAATATGTAAAAAATTAACTATGAACCAAATTATGAAAATATTCATATTTTTCACATTGATGTTTTTCTGTGTATGTATTTGAATCCAAAATAAATCCTAGAGTGCTCAGGATTCATTTGATACTCCGGGTTCTTGAATTCATTTAGAATATAATAGTGCCTTAAAGCTTCCCAGTGGCGTTTAAAATATCCCTTTAAAACTTCCCAGTTCTGTACAACTATAATTCTTTTCCTGTACTTTTTCATATTTGTTCCTAACATTTAATTTAATTAATTTCTTTCTTTTATTCAGATACCTACAATGTGTCAGCAAATATATGAAGGATCTGAAACCATTCGGAGATGTACCCGACAAACTATCCGTCCAAATTAAAAGATCATTTGTGGCAACAAGAACCTATGGTCAGGCATTGAGTACGGCGGCGGATATTTCCAAGCGGTTAATTAATGTAAGTTTTTCAACACAAAATCATGTGCTATTATTTTGTTTTATAAAGAAATTTTAAATAAAAAAATACCAATCAGCTGTTATTTTCAAAAAATATTCCATGACTAATATAGTTTTTCCTAAAAGTATACTACATTTATTTATGATTTGTTTTCTCTTTTCCAGATACGTTTAAATGCCGATTGTACATCGGCCCTAACCAAAATGCAACACTGTGGCTCGTGCAAAGGTTATACGGAAAAACCCTGTACGAATTATTGTGTTAATGTCATCAAAGGTTGCCTACACTATTTCAATGAATTGGATACGGAATGGGAGAATTTTGCCGGTGCTATGGATAAGGTGGCGGAACGTTTATTGGGCTCTTTTAATATTGTTATGGTTGTCGAACCAATTAATATTAAAATTTCCGAAGCCATTATGAATTTCCAGGTTAGTAATAAAATTGGATTTTAATTTCCCCCAAAAACACAGAAACAACAATTACTAATTTAACACCTCCATTTAAAGTAAATAACTACTAATAACTAATACACACATGCGCCATACGATTAATTTGTATGCAAAATACTTTAGCTAAAATATGTTGGAATCTCACACAAAAGTGTATTAGTTTGTGCGTGTCAAACACTAATCGCGAAATTTACATAGATATAAAGGCACAGTGGGAGGTTTTTTCATATATAATAGAGTCCACTAATGGGGGAAATTAAAAAATCATATCTCAACCAAAATACCAAAAATTAAATTAAAACCCCAAAATGCCAAAGCACATGCAGTTTGATTCAGGTGTGGGAGAAGTTTCTCCCCAATAACCTTTTGTCTGTCCCTTATATACAAAACGATCATTAAAGAAAAATATGTTTTCTTTTGTCTCAAAAAGACAAAAGTTGACTTCTTGTTTTTGTTTATCAACAACCAGTTAATGTCAAAAAAATGATAATTTTTTATTAAGCTTTTGCATATATCTGTAATGGGTGCCAGAGTCTGTGTGTGTGGATGGGCCTACTGCCTACTAATTTATGTATATGACTTCTACAGCTTCTCGTTTTTTTATATTAAAACAAAGTTACAGTTAGTGGGGGCGAGCAATATTTAGTATATTGACAAAAAACAATAAGATAATTAAAAAAAACTGAAAGATAATTTTTAAACGACAAACCCTATTAACCATTTAAAAAATATCAACCAATTTGAAGATATCTCTAATAATAGCCCAAAAAAAACTTTTTCGTTTGTCATTTTTTTGTTATTAATTATTCTAAACAGGTTTCAATTTGAACATCACCTTTTGCGCATTGTCTAAATAAATTTATTTATACATACATAAATATATCTTTCTTTATAGCAAAATGAGTGTTTGTTTATTTGTTTAATATATTTTTTAAGCACAAAAGTGTGTTTGATTATTGCCCATTTGAAGAAGTACCGAAATCTGTTTGCAAAATTTATTATTAACGCCCGCAACAATAGGTGTACCGCCGCCGAAGTGTACAAATAAATTTTCAAATTTATTAATTCAAAATCTCTGCAAGATAAAAGCAATAATAATAAATAAAAACGTATTTATATTTTGATGTTGTTTGCCATTATTCATTGATTGATTAGTAGAAGATGTTAATATTTTTTGCTATATATTCAATAATATTTGGAGAGCATTTCACATGCATTAGAGGTTATGTTATTTGTTTAATTTGTAGGACCCGGAAAATATTTTTTCAGAAAATAGGTTGATGTGAGAGAAATCTTAAAAAAAACCAGTAAGGAAAGTAGTAAAGTCGGACTGGGCCGACTATATGATACCCTTCACCACTTTGGGGATATTCTACATATGTATCCTAACAGACGTAGCCTTTTCTAAGGCGATTATTTGGTGTACAGTCAACATCAATC